GTGCATGCCTCAGTAAATCCCAACAACCCAAATCCCTGCCCTGAATTTCATGAGCCCAATCTAAGAAACCATATATCCAATAAGTAAATATAATAAATGCTACAGTTTAGAACTGGGTTGTCCTTGCCCAAACTCACGTGAAAAAAAAAAAAAACAGCTGCCAATGTAACCCACAGAAAAGGCATTGGGCCCTTAATATTTTTAGGTAGCAGGGTTCTGATGTCTTGAAAAGATTTGTGAGTTTCCAGGAGATTAGCTGATAGAGGACATCCATTCCCTGGTGTTCACTCTTCCCATTTCATCCCCTGCTTTCTGTAGTGAGGTAAAGCAACTTGGGGCCCTTCCCATCACCATTCTGCTAAACTTTCCCACCTCCAGATATGTGTGCCCAAACAAATCTCAATTCATTGACTCACTCAGACTCAGTGTTTTCTTAGATCATAATATCATCAAAAACAAAACAATTAGTACTTAAAAACTTAAGGTTCAAGTACCTGATAACAAACAAACAAGAGAGGATCTAGGCCCAAACTGCCTAAATTCTAATCCCAGGTTAACATTTCCCAGCTGGGAGGCCTTGGGAAAGTCACCTAATCTTTCTATGCCTTGATGTCCTTAATACGATATAAGAAGAATCGGCTCTCTGCACGCATGTGCATCCATGCTTGCACAGGCTGTCTCCGCTGGCTGGGGCAGTCACCAGCGAGGTCCATATCTTAAAAAGTCCTGTGAATGAGCACACAACCAAGAATCATTTCAATCCCAATTTAGATAAACCTGTCGGGAGAATATAAAAACAAAGAGAATATGTCCAAGTTATCAGACTCCGACTGTGTTGGTTCTTTTACCCTGACAAATACCTGAGAAAAGAGAATACACTTTCTCACAGTCTCAGTAAAGCTAAGCTGCTTACCTCCTGGAAGCAGAAAAGAACAGAGAGAGAGAGAGGGCGGGGAAGGGACGGATGGAGATGACAGAGATAAAGCGACTCCTTTATTCCCTTCAGATGTAGTATCAGTACCTAACTTTCACTAAGCCCCATCTCCCAATAGCATCACAGACTAGGGAACATGTTTTCAACATATAACTTCTTGTGAGACTTCAAATCCACAGGTAAAGCATTGTTTAAAAGGAAAAATATAAGCCAATTTCATTTATAAATACAAAAAAAAAAAAGGAAAACTAGTCTAGTATTTTTATTCACATTTTAAGTCTGTGCTGTGAAATAAAGATCCAAATTCACCTTTTATTTCATTTTACGTGGAAAACAAATTACCCCCGCATTATTTATTGATCAGAAATGTTATCTCTGTCACATCTCCCTGAGGTTCTGATCTATTCTGGTTTTGTGGGTCAGTTAGGTATTACTTTGTTATGTTACACTGCTTTAATAACTATTGCTTTTTAAGTCTCATCATCTGGTACCATGATCTTCCTTGTTATTGTTCTTCAGACCTACTTTAGCTATTTCCAGCTCACTGCTGCTTCATATGAATTCTGGGATAATTTTGTCGTTTTTAAAGAAAAAACAAAAACCTGCTGGTATTCTCACAGTCCTCACGTTAAAGACAACGTGGGACTGGCGGAGTGACTCAGTGGGAAAAAAAGCACCTGCTATCAAGCCAGATGACCTGAGCTCCATCCATTGGCTTCACATGGTAGAAGGAAGAGAAGAAAACCAACTCCTGCAAACCTTCACTCTGACTCAGCATTCTCTCTCTCTCTCTCTGTCTCTGTCTCTCTCTCTCTCTCTCTCACACACAGACACTCAAACACAAGCACACACACATGATCTTGCATGAACACACACTGCACATACATATATACACACACATGCATGCATATAAACATGCACACTAATGAACATGCTCAGACATGAACACACACACACACACACACACACACACACACACCACACTACACCACATACCAGGACCCAGGGAGGAGTATGCAGTGATAAAAGCTCTGAGGGGATAGCAAGCGGTCCTGATCATCCTAAGCAACAGGGGTGATTCCTTATCTGAAAAAGTGGCAACACGTATTCTCATTAATTAAATTCTTTTCTCACAGGAGAGAAGCCAGCCATAATGTTCACATAGCTTAAAGCTTGCTTTTCCAATTGTGTGAATGTTGAGTATCTGCTGAAGCTGATGTCGCTAGGTCAGACTGTCAACACCATCTTAGAGAACATACACCAGCTCAAGCAGAGTGTGGCTCTGCCTTTAAAAGATAAGAAAGTGTAACAGAGATAATACTTGCCCTTGAACTGTCTCTGAGGGACAAAAATAAGTCATTTGTGTTGAAAGTTTGCAATACATCTTTTATTGACATCTTGGAAACATCTAGATGGTTTCATTGCACAGACTTGGATACATGTTTGCACACACTGAGACCAGACCAGAGCACTACAGAGAAACAGGCCAGGCAGCACAGGCTACCTCAGAAGCACGATCGTACACAAAGCAGGAAGGTCATCTACTACCTGCATGTGCAAGGTACCATCTAAGGTCACATACAGCCCTCATGTGCAAGGTGTCATCTATTAAGAACATCTTAAGAGCATCGACAGTAATTTGTCTTAAAAAAAAAAAAGCTTTGGAATGTCTAGAAATTAAACCAAAGTTCGAGACTTTAAACTCCAGGTTCACTTTCTAAATTATATTTAGGAACAATCCAGACACTGAAGTGGATAGAATATTAAAGCCGTAGTTTGAAGCTGGTGTGTAGAGTGATTAGATTTCCAGAGGGAGATGCTAACCCCTAACTAGAAAGCATGTATGAATCTAAAGCAATTTGTAAATGTTTCTGTGAAGTCCATTGACATGGACAAGATTGCTTATTTAGGCATGGCCAGTGATGCAGTAATTTGGCCTAGCTTGTGACAGTCTAACTTGACTAATACATCACCGGGAAGGGATGAGATAAGATGCTCCCCTGATGACTATCTAAAGAAAGGCTGATGGAAAGGTCACAACTGGCTGACACCAGCATGAAAATATCTCATCTTATGTATTTGCTCAATGGACCAACTACTTGGAATGAGCAATTTCCCATTTGGCATTTCACCTAAGCTAACTAATATGAATGTACCGCAGTTACTACTGAGGATAAATTAGGCTTCCAGATCTTAGCCAAAGACTCAGGAAATTTTCTTATGCAGTGTCTTGAAATCCTCACAGCTAGATACCACCAGCAGAGGTTAATTCTAATTAGCACTAATCACAGCTTAAAATGTACTTGAAATGTGCATTGTCTGTGTGTGTCTCTATATGTGTTTGTGTGTGTATGGGTATGCATGCATGTGTGTGTGTGCGTGCGTGTGTGTGTGCGTGTGTGTGTGTGTGTGTGTGTGTTGACATGATGAAAGCAGCTGTTGTGTCTATGATTCTCCCTTTAATGCATTTACGGTTGCTATTTGCCTGTGATTATGTCTACATGGTGAGAACTACTAAACAATTCTGAAAAGCGTATGGGTTGTCCACACTAAACCAAGTTCATGTAGCACCTGACGCTCACTCCTTTTCTCTTAGTGTACTTTTCTTCTAATAGTGCCTTCTTTCTTGCAAAGTACAAGACCTTTAATACCCCTGTTGATGTGCATTTGCTAAGAATTCTGAAGGCCACAATTCACTTTGTGGGTCATGGCGTATTTCTAACACTGCAGGACTTCTTAAAACACTGGTGAGCAACCAGGGCAATGTTGTTGCTAGGAGACACCTTGACATGGCTACAGTCTTTCTAGTTGTCATAATTTGGGGATCAGAGTGTCCTCTACTAAACAGTGCTAGGTATGTTGTTATTGATTCCACAGTGGCCAGGGCATACATCCCACAACCGTTACCAGCCCCAAGTGCCAAAAGCTCTGAGATCCAGTCAGCACTTGCCTTAAAGGAAGCCTTTTTGAAAAAAATAAATAGTTTGTTTTGATAATAAATTTACTAGCAACTGTTTTGAAATATGTAGACAAATTTCATATGATCTGATAGAAATGGTGTAAGGTATAGAGCTTTTGTGGCGATTGGTTTTTTTGTGACAAATGATTTTTTAGGAATTGATATTTTTAGAGTCACTGAGGGTCTCATAGAGACTCTGGAATCTTTTAGCTGGGATTAACTCTGTTTTGTGTAGGACATCATTTACTGCTTGAGATTTTTGAGGTTTCCAGGATCTCAGGAAATAACTTAAAGAGTAGCTACCTGTTACCCGATGACTTATACCCTTCCCAGCTACAAAATCTGATACTTCTATATGCTGCATTATTTAACCCTTAGTACAACTTCCTAGACATTGTAAATCCCCTTTCACAGCTGATGTAATGGGGGCTCAGGGTAGTATTGCTACTTCCCTAAAATCAAACACTTGAAAATGAAAAGGCAGGGGTGCAAACACTAGTATGTCAGACTCAAAGGCTAGTTATTCCTCTGCACAATGCCACCTATAGGGACACCTGAGCTTCTTAACTATCGAACAAATACACCCCAGCAGCATGAGAGGAAAAAAAAGTGGGGGAAAACCAGGAATCTCCTCACTTATAATGTAACTACCATTTGCCAAATGTGCTACACCTCTTCCTCTGTGGGTTTTGCTCATGCCTTGAAAGACCTGTCCAGGCACTTTATATAAATCCTCCATCACCTAGATGATGTAGGTAAAGAAGAAACCAGCTTGCCCTCAAATTACTCATATCATTGAAGAGGAATGATGGTTTTCACCCCATTAAATGTTTAGCCTTTAAAAAAACTGAACTGGTTTTTGCGGCTTCTATCTGAAGGTTCACCGGCTGTACTGTACTGTTTAATCTGTACACACCCATAGTCATTTATCATTATGCTTTCTATAAATCTCCCAAAACTGTTTTAAGGATAATCAGGAAACATTTGTAGGTCTGTTGGGTTAGTTACATCATGTTCAAGTCCAGCTTAATTAATTATGTTTTTTTTTTTTTCTTAAGAGAGTGTTCCACACAGTATCAACATGGAGCCTGTATGGTATCTTGGGTTTCTTTTCTAGAAGTAGGCTCATCACTGAGTCACCTGCTACTGTGGCACACCAGAGCAGACCCACAGAGATGTGATATTTAGGGATTTAGTATTCCAACAAAATATATTAGTAGGGAATCTGAATGGTCCCTACTCTTCTTGACAATGCTCACACCACAGCAAGAGGAGAGACCCACATGCCAAAACCTCCTCTATGCAGGAACACTTTGCTTCTCCTTCACTCTAGAGAAGGTGTTCAGATATAGCAGTTTGGAGGTGTTTTTTAGTTTTTCCACATTCCAGGAAAATTTTGAAAGCTTCCTTTTCTTTTTAGGCACTTTACAGATTACAAATGACATAGTCCAGATACAATCTCACATTTTAAAATTATGTTCTCTGCTTTTCTGGCAGAAAAATACCAACCCTTACCCTTGCATGGTTCCTTTCCAACTACAATGGTGTATTTCCTTAGGAGAATATTTTTTATTCCTGTTACTTCTCCAAAATCCAATTAACCTGAGCTCTTTTGAGAATGCAAAACAACAGCAGCAGCAGCAACACCACCCAGGTGTTATCTCAGAAGTGGCGCTCTGAAATAACCCTTGGGTTTGTCTGAAAAGTGAAGCTACACTCTGTCACCATGTTTTCTGATGTTGCCACATGCCATGACCAGGGTGAAAAGGGGCTGTGGAACTTCATTGCTTAGACTTGATTCCTTTCTTGTTCTACAGATTAGAGATGGAGGCAGGAACTGTTTTAAATGGGGCCTAGGTCATGATCTCTTCAAAGTCAGACAGCTGCTTCATCTGTTCGATCTGCATAGAATGCCTTCGAAGGAGTTTCTTTTTACTTCTCAAGTCAACTCTCTTTGGTGAATTTGGAGCAACGGGAACCATAGATTTTAAGCCACTAGCAAGTGGGGAAGCTGGCTTGCTGTTGGCTCTAATATCCGGGATAGGTGGGTTTAAATTCACATTTAAAGGGGGCAGAAAGCCAGGCCTCGTGTGAGCAATGCGGTCTAGCAAGAGAGTTCCAGAACCTCTTCTTTCTAGAAGATGAGGTGGCCTGCGGCGCACTGAGCTGGGAGATGTGCTGGGTACAGCATCCAGGGACTCCCGAGAGCCATGGAAAAGGGACAAGTGAGAACTGTTGAGCTTCTTTCTATCTAAAGGTCCTTTGCCTGACTCAAGGGACATGGAGTTGGGTGGGTCAGCCCCTGACTGTACATCTAAGTCATAGAGGTCATTTTCCAACAGCTTGAGAGATGCTGGATCTTTCAGAGCTGAGGATCCTGGTGGACACATCCCACCCTTCTCTTGGTCAACAGGAAGCGTTCCTCTCCTGGCCATACGTGGGTGGGAAGCCTGGCCTTTCTCGTAAGCTGCTTTCCAGGAAGCTGGTGCTGAAGCTGGAACCTTCAAAACTTGTTCCTGGACTGTGGGGAAGAGAGTAGGGTCTTTACTGTCAATGCTGTTGGCTCTGGAGAGGGGCCCTCTTTTAGGGAAGGACATGTCATTGATGTTCCGGATAACCTCATTGTCTGTGCTTGTACCGTGGGTTTCATCCTGGCGTGTGGAGGCTGCCAGCACAGAGGGAGCTATCAAGCCCCAGGGTTCAGACTGGAGCCTCTTCAGTTGGGGCAAACGGGCCCTTTTGAGACTAGACACTTTCCTTGTGGGTGATCCAGGCTCATTAAGGACCTTAGAAGTACTACAGCCACTTTGGTGTCCTGTATGGAGGGTGAAGAAGTCATCATCCTTCTCAGTGGGTGGAGAGCCCAGGCCAGGAGCCTTCAGTTCAATGTCAGAAGGAGACGCACACAGTGGTGGCGACTGTCTATCTTCCACTTTGGGTGAAGGAGGGACATTCAGATACTGCTTGGTGGTTTTGGTGCCGGAAGATGATTTGTCTGTTGTTATAATAATCACTTCCTTACCTTTGGCTTTGCAGGCATCAAGGAGATGCTTCAGTGCGTCCTTGTCATCTGCATTTATTGCATAAACCAGAGCCGAAGCCCCAGTTCGATCCTCAAGGCTGGGATCTGCTCCATTCTCTAGCAGTAAGGACACCACTTCTCCCCCGGCCCGTCTGATGCAAGCATGGATGAGTGCAGTCTTGCCAGACTTATCTTGAATATTGGGGTCTGCCCTATTGTCCAACAGATACTTCACCATCTTAGACTTGCTAATGCTTTGCTGGTCCACATGTTTGGTAATACAGGCCACCATGAGAGCCGTTTCACCTTTGTCATTGCTTTCATTGATGTAAGCTCCCCCTTCCAAAAGGAGTCTGGTCAGCCGAAGCCTCCCAAGCCACACGGCTTTTAAGAGAGAGTTTCCATCAGTCCTCAACTCAGTGTCATCATCCATCATGGTGGCTGTAACTTAAGACCTCTGAGCCACAGGGGGTATCAGACCTAGCAAAGAAAGAAGAAGGAAAAGTGCTAATTTACTGCTACTCTATGCAGCATGGCTATGTCAAAGTCTAGGTATGACCATGTCCCAGCCTGATTCCAAGCTGTGTTGCCTGAACTAAATTATCTAATACCCAAGTGTGAGTTTCTTCATCTATAAATGGGGATGAAAATAATAGTGACCTACCTCCTGGGGTTATTCTGAAAATTCCTTCAGATAGTGTACATAAAACACCTAGCTGGAACATTGGCTCAGTGGTTAAGAGCATTTATTACTCTTTCAGAGGACCCAGATTTGAATTCTAGAACCCACATGGTCGCTCACAATAATCCATAACTCCAGTCTCAGGAGCCCAACACCTTCTGACCTTCATGGGCACCACACACATATATACATGAAGGCAAAACACTCACACACACAAAATAAAATGAATAAGCCTAAAAACGTGTAAAACACAGGCACATACACATACAAAACCACCTGGCCATATGAAAATCAATTAGCATAATGAACACAGTATAGCTATTTTTAAAATGCAAGATACGGTTGTGTTGACTGCTCAGTTAACACAAATAGTGAAATCTAAGTTCCTTTAGGAAATAAACATTCATATGTTTTATTATTCACTGTTGGATCCTTGGCACTTAGCAGTGATTCACACATAATGAGTAGGCTACTTCACAAATAATCATTAAAAGCATTTTGTGCATCTAAAAAGCTAGTATAAAAGGCACTGACTTGTTGAACCCTATTCTAGGTAATAGGCCTACCTAGGGAGGGAGTCATTTTGTTGTTGTTGTTGTGTTCCTAAAATAAATATGTATTACTATGATCATAGAAATAAAGCAGTAACAAATACATAAAATAAAGTCAATATAACTATAATTTTCCAGGCTCTAGTTCCCATTTTCCCAGCAGATGTCAGAATTCTCATTTGTCTAACTCACAGTAGCTCCTGCCATGCCATGCTATATCCTTCTCACTTGCTGAACTGATAAATGACAAAGAATGAAGAACAGTGTTGAATTTTTGTTCACACAAAACCAAAGTTCCTTCACCAATGTTTGTCACAATCAAGTTTTCCTTTCTCTTCATTTGACTTATCTAGTCCGTAGACTCAGAACTTCCACACTGTGTACTTAAAATGCATTTTTCAAATAGGGAGGGATGGGCAGGCCAGCATGAATGCCCTGGCCAGCCTATGGGTACCAATTAGGTTATTCGTCTGCAAGAATGACTTCTTCACATGGACACCCTGGTTATCTAGCCCCCACTGAGCTGATGGCCTATGGTTTCCTCTTCATCTAACCCACAATGATGTCTGTCCTCCTATCCTACTCAAAGCAACAGCATCTCAGTTTCTGTTTCTTATAGAATTAGAAGACAAAGCTTTCTTGGCTGAAGTTGAGAGATAGGTGCACATTCTTTTAAAAAGTTTAATGCAGGAAAAAAGAAAACCGATACCTGAGAGATAGCTTAGTCTGTAAAGTCTGTGCCATATAAGCATGAGGACCTGAATTCAATCCCTAGAACCCATTAAAAAAAGATGGGCATGATTACACACTTATAATCCTAGAGACAGGGAAGAACTGGGTGAAAAGTTCTGGGGCTTGGTGGCCTAATTAGTGAATCTAGGGACCTAGTGAGAGACCTTGTCTCAAAATACAAAAACATGGATGTTTCTTTAGGAATAACATCCAAGGTTGATCTATGGCCTCTCCACACTCAGGCACACACATGAACACACTATCACCATCACCACCACATTAATAAAAAGAGATTTTATTCATCTATCTCAACTCCTTCTAGAAGCATTCTCCTTTAAAAATAACAGCGCCAGCAGCCCTGTCTCTATCTTCCTGCTTTGGCATATTCCTCACAACACACTGAACACCGTGAGTCTAAACTGCTGCAATCGTGCTTGTATCTTTCTATAAGAGTTTCTGAAAATTTGCTGTCATCTGAGGACATCGGAAAATTGATATATCATGTTTATATTTCTGTCTCCATCCTCATCTTTTTTTTCCCTTTAATACCCTGTTGGTTTTTATTCTCTCTCTCTCTCTCTCTCTCTCTCTCTCTCTCTCTCTTGTGTGGTGTGTGTGTGTGTGTGTGTGTGTGTGTGTGTGTGTGTGTGTGTGTGTGTTCTCTTTCTCCTGCTGTTATAATGGTCTCCTTAATGGTGTGCTACCTGCAGTGGCTATTTTAAAGTCTTGAATTGTTCAATATTCAATAAACTTCTTGGTCTTTGTGCCCTGGAGACCAAAAGCAGAAGTTCCAAGCACTGACCAATGCAAACACTTTTCTTCATTTCATCATGAAAGCTTTTTTCTCTGACCCCAACTTACCTCCCAGAGTCATCCCTGCAATGCCAGCTCTTCTCACAGTCTGCCTACCTTGAAATGTCAGTGTTTCTTAAATACGCCCACTTTTTTCCCTTCCTGGAACTGCTCTTGTTTCTAACTCTAAGGACTCCCTGCTCTTCTTTAATTATTCATCATCCTCCAAACATCAGCTCAAATGTTACTTCCTTTGTAATCAAGAGAAAAATCAATCAAGATCCAAGAGGGAAAGTTGAGTAAAATTACAATGACTCATATCTGGACTATATAAAGAACTCTTCCAAATCATTTCCTCCAAAAGAGGATACACAAATGACCCATGAGCTTTATGTGATTATCAAAAGTACTCAGCCTCATCAGTACTCAAGGAAAATCAAACCAAAGCACAAGGTACCACCCAATGTTACACAGAATGACAATCCAAAGGATGCAGGAAGTCAGAACCCATCAGGAACCTGATGGAATAGGTACCACTATTCTAAACTAAAGTTTATACTCTGACCCAATCATCCCATGCCTAGGTTGATACTTGTAGCTAAATGTAAACCAAGGCTACAAAATCATCCTATCCTGGTATATGTGTAAGAAGCTGGCCAATAAAATAGGCAAAATAACACCGTTACTTTTGAGAAAAGCCTTCACAGGCCTTGCAACATAAAAGCATCTTGGAACCCAGATGCTTTTATGAGAAAGACTGGGATATTCCTCCAGAAAGGTCAGGTAGAGCTTTAGCTAACTTCCTGAATATAGTTCATACCATTTTTTCCCTGTCTAGCCCCAACCACCTCCCAGATAATTGCAACTGACTGAGTGAACTGACCAATAAGTTTAGAGAAGAGTTGGAGAGAATTTTTTTGCTTTTTTCTGATTTCATTTTATATTATTTATTTACTCACTTTTGCTTTTGGAGTACAAGAAATGAACTCTATAAAACTTTCAATTAATTAGTATGTTTTTGACTCTGGTTATATAAGTTAAAATTTCTTATAATTAAGACCTGGCTAAAGTACCAATGCTATCTGCTTATTCATTCATTTCTTCATCATCAAACATAGTCTGTATACTTATGTCAGATATGAAGTTAAAGAGATTATGTAACGCAGGTATTTACAATCCAGAAGGAAGGTAATAATAATAATTTTATGTTGTGCTTGCCATGTGCCAAGCAATATGCTGAATCATGACAATGTATATGCATTGCCACTTAGTCCCTGCAACAATAACATGAGATGGATAGTAATTTTATTTCTTTCTTAACTTGAAGTTTAAATTGAGCATTAGGAAGATAAAGCCACTTATCTAAAAATCACCTAAGTAGGAGGTTGCAGAGTCAGAATTCACATCTGCCAGTCTCACCTCAAAGTCCATTTTCTTGACTTCTATGTGAAACAATGGTAGTTTTGTGTAGTACGTCCCAGAGTAGAAGACAAACGTACAGCAGGGAGAGAAGAGTACCACAAGGAACTAAGGATACAGATTAGGAAAGGATTGTTAGTGAACCACATAATTGGGATAGCCCTTGGAAAAAAAAAAAAAGGAATAGAAGTTTCTTGAACCAAAATATGGCGAACATCACACCTTGGCTTATAAAAAAAAAAAAAAAAAAAAAAGTAGCATAGCCCAGAAATTTAGAGAGACTTGAGGTGCAGAGTCAGGAGTGAAAGGGCACAGACATCCATAGAGTGAGCTAACTAGTATGATAGGCAACACCCTTTAGACTATTGTCCTGAAGGTAGGTGCTGGTATGTAGAAATGTCAAATAGTGGAGAACTGTAGAGGAAAAGGTGACATAATCATTGGTGATAGGGTAGGAACAGATCGGAAATCTGGGAGGCCACATAAGAGTCTTGAGGAGATAAAGAGAATCAGAGCTACCACAGTGCAGAGGCTGAGGATGAGTGAAGCTGCAAAGAAGTCAGCAAGAAAGAACTGACCAGTGATACATTCGATGTGAGAGTCAACCAATCCCTAGTTTCCTTTCATTTGAGCTTTGTCTTCTATTGTGCCCCATGAAATGAATACTAAGAACACCTAATGCTGGGAAGATGGTCTATCATGTGCTTTTTGACTGGCATGACAGAGGGAAGATAGGTACCATCTTTGTCCTGAAGTCTTTCTGTTATTTTGTTGTCTATAAAACTATCCAAGTCTTATGTTCCTTTTAAGCTCAAAGGGTCATATTGCTTCATGATTTAAAAATAGGAAGTAAAAATGATGGGCTTTCTGGCCCTAGATCCTTTTCCCCAAGCTGGGTTGCCTTGTCAGGCCCCAGTGAGAGAGGATGCACTTCTTAGTCTTGCTGCGACTTGAGGTGCCAGGGTGGGTTGATACCCCTCGAGGGTCTCCTCTTCTTTGAGAAGAAAGGGGGAGATGAGGGGAGGGGCATGAGGGTGGGACTGGGAGAAGAGGAGTGAGGGAGACTGGTATCAGGCTGCAAATAGATTAGATTAGATAGATAGATAGATAGATAGATAGATAGATAGATAGATAGATAGATAGATAGATATGGATGGAAAGAATGATGCTTTGAGCCTTTTTCTCTTGAAACCTATAATTGCTCATTACTACATCTTTCCAAGTCTTTGGCCTGAATATTTCAGACCTTGTTCAGAAATTAAAGGACCAAGAGCCCTGTGGTCCACAGTTATGCACTGTTTGACTGGTACAGCATTTTAAATGTTTTTAGATTTGTTGACTTTATTTTCTGTGCATGAATATTTTTCTTGAATGTGTGTCTGTGTACCATGTACTTGCCAAGTACCTAAGGAGGTCAGAAGAGGATGTGGAATGGCTGTGAGCTACTTGTAGGTTCTAAGAATAGAACCCAGGTCCTCTGCAAGGAAGACAAATGTTCTTAACTGCTGAGACACCTCTTCAGCCCATGACATGATATTTCAATGATTGGATTTGAATATGTTAAGGAGGATTAGTCATTGTTTAGCGTGAGAAGGGGCTGCCATTATCTATAGTCTTACAACTAGCCTTATTCATATGTTTGTTGCTTATCTGGGTTATATAGGGACAGGGGTTTGCATATAAAAGCAAAAGGCCATTTTGCCATTATTTTGCCTTATTTTTTCACTTCATATTGCTAACCTCTTCAAAGTTGTCAGAAGGCTCAAATAAAACAATAAGTCCAGAGTCTTTGGTAAAGTTTAAGGTGCATATGGTCAAGTGAGCTATCATAAATTATGTAACTAGCAGTTACTTTGGTAAAGATGTAATGTCATAATGTCATTTACTTTACGGCTACTTTTTTCAGTCACAGGTCCATCAAATTTCCAGATATTGTCCCTCATTTGTCACACAAGCAAATATTTCCATAATCTGAAAGATGTCGTTATGCAAAACAGAAAGGTCTATAGACATTTTGTGAGTGGTTTCACAATTATTGATGCCTTACTGAAAAGCCTTAGGTAAATTTTGTTCTTACTGACCAGAGTGGGCTTGCAGGACTTTTAAATATACATTTTGTATTCATTTGTTTCCAGCTATAGCTTCATCTTGTTTTCCCTCTACTTCTTCTAACTACCACTGAGTATAACAAGCCTGGTATCTTATGAATCTTTAAATTTTGTTTTGAGTTCATTGTGACCCAAAATAGAATATAGTTAATATGCATTTATTAAGTTGATCCAAAAGTAGTTTAGAAGTCATCCCTGTCACATGATTTTTTTCTTTTTTATTCACTTTGCATCCCTGTTGTAGTCTCATCCCCCCTCCCTTTCCAATCCCATCCTGCATCCTTCCCCCACTCTCCTCCCCTTTTCTGAAGAAAATGAGAGCTCCCTTTCCCATCTAACCCAGCTCATCAAGTTGTATCAGGACTGAGTTTCCTCTTCCCTGTGGCCTGGCAAGGCAGTCCTGCCAGGAGGAAGTAATCAAAAAACTGGCAAGTGAATATGAGTCTGATGCAGTCCCCACTTCTCTGTCACATGTTAATACTATCTGCCTAAATATTTTCAGTGCTGAAATTGCCAAAGTCCAAGCTCCTAAGGAAGTGCCAGTCTTTGGCAGGAGAACTGCAAAACAAAGATGCAAGAGATGGGAATGTAAAGTGAATAAGTAAATAAATTCATGAAAAAAGAAAACAAACAAACAGTTTCCAGGGAGATACATAAGGAATTCAAATTCAGGTCAAGTGTCCTTTTGCCAAATGACACTTCTTAGTGTTGTAATAAGAATCAAATGACAGGCAGTATGTGAATGTCCTACAGGAAGTTCTGCTTTTAGAATCCTCCATGATTATTACACTGAATTAAGCCCGTCTCACATTGTTTTCACGGAGCCCTGACCTGCTCTGCAGTCAGTAATAGTACTGTTTATTACTGCCTTACAGCTTTACCATCTACCTGCTCTTTTCTTACTAATGACACCAACCACAATTAAAGTTCTACAGATGTTCACACACAGACATACACACACACACACACACACACACACACACAATTTCTGCCAGGGAAACATGCTAAAATTACAGACATGTTTGTTTGTTTGTTTGTTTGTTTGTTTTGAAATAGGCTTTCATATATCCCAATGTGGCCTCAAAGTCACATGTATAGGAGAATGGCCTTGAACTGCTGATCCTCCTGCCTTCCCTTCCAGAGTACTTAGACTGCAGGCATGCAAGCACTATGCCTGGTTTTACTGATTCTGAGAGTCTTACTCTGGACTTTGAGCTTGCTGCACTCTACCAACTGAGCTACAGCAGCAAACACAGAGCATTAATTCAAACACATGCAGTAACCTTGTCCGAAGGCATAGTGCTACAACTCTTATCCCTGTTCTGGCCCCTGAAACCTCAAGTTCAAAACTCTTTCACAGAGGAAACTCTGCTCAGACTTAGGGTTCCACTTGTGTGCAGGCTGGGGTGGAATTTCAGATTCAGTCAGCTGTAGCAGTCTCTGCTTGTATAAACTTGGTCAAGTTTTTTATTCTCTCTTGCTTCAGTTTTTCTCTTCTGAAAAATGGGGATAAAAATATCATGCAAATGGAACTGTCCCGGTATATAAAATTATACAATCTATGTAGAATGTTTGGCACCGGGTGTTGGCACACCGTAAGCTCTTTATAAATGACAAGTACTTGGGAAAGTTTGAATACACCCTCCAAAACTCAGGAGGCCACTTGGTTCGGCTGCAGCAGTTGCGGAAGCCTGGAAGGGTATCTTTGCACTCCGCCCCTTCCTTCTGTAGTCTTGGGAAGCAGTTAGAAGTGGATTAAAAAACTGAACTCCACGTTTGTCTTTGCCATTCAAGAGTCCTGTCTGGCCAAATTCAGGGAGTCTCCGCCCACCACTGATGGAGGTAGCAGTTTAGGAGCTGATCAGAGCCAGTGGCTTAACGCTGCGGGGGTGAGGGAATGGGGGGGGGGGGGGGGGGGGGGGGGGGGGGTGCCTCTGTCCAAGGTGCTGAAACCTGGGGTACGGCCGCTCCCGATGTGTGGGCGTCCATTGCTATCGGTGTGGTTGGGCACCTTCCTGAAGGCCGCATATGGGGGGTCTGGGGAGACAGAGCCGTAAATGCTCCTCCCATTATTTCTCAGAAATTCTCAGACACATACACTTTTCGATTTTTTCTTTTTGTACATTTTCAGAATCAGATCTTGTCGTTGCCCACTCCTCACAGGTTTATGCAAAAACGTAAGGCTTCGCCTCAGTTCCTGTAAAAACCCAGATGCCTAACAGCCAGCCCCCACCTGAAACCATTTCCTACAAAAATCCCTGTCTCCTACGCATCTCATCCCCACACGTTAACGCAAATATATATATATATATATATATATATATATATATATATATATATACACATACATATATTCAATTGAATCCTTCTATTTCAGTCTCTCACAATTTCCTGTGATAAAAGCAGACTCTCTCCTACAAGCCCCGCCTCCTGCCCTGCCTAAAAAACCCGGTTACTTCTGAGGAACCTCTGGTCTCACCTAGCTGACCAGTGGAAAGCCCTTGAGGTGCACTCACCCAGCAGGGGTGCTTACCTGCGTGCCCAGCGACGCTATGTTGGTCCAGGACTTGGACAGTGCCATCTCTTCCACAACACCTCCTGCGGCTTCAGGTCGGAGAGCAAAGGGCTCTGGCCATCTGAAGCAGGGCCAGAAGCTGGGCTAGCCCTAGCTATCCTCGTGGATGCCGGTGAATGCCTTGCTCGGAACTTCTTCAAGGGCCATCAATGAAACCTCTGTGCCAATTATTCGAATCACTCTCTGCTCTTCCAACTTGTGTCGGCTAAGGGGAGAGAGGTGTTTAATCAGAGAAAGAAGTATTAAAGAAACGTGAGAACGCTACCCAGCTTGGAGCTGCCGGCCGCAGAGCTCCTGCGCAGCCTGGTCCTGCAGCTTGGCTTCTGCTGGCTGGCTCTAAGGCTGACAAGCCACTGCTGCCCGCTGGCGCCCAAGAACGGCTCTCCAGCCGCTAACGGAGAGGGCTGTGTGGGTGGGTGTGAGCGAGGAAGCTGGAAGGAGGGGACGGAGGGGGGGAGGTGCCTACCTGCAGCTGTGGGAAAAGGAGCCGTTGCCCCGCCCCCTTCCCCTCAGCTCCAGTTGAAATCAGACTTGCTCAACAACTTGGCAGAAGTCTTAGAGCCCCGGGGGTCCCTGCGCGCATAGCGACCTAGCGAGGGCAGACATTGGGGTCTGGAGACTTGAAGGGTCCTTTGCAAAGCCTGGCACTTCTAGAAATTCGAACTCGTGTCTATTTTGGTCTTCCTAAGACTCTGCCTGCCTCTTTTTTTTTTTTTTTTTTTTTTTTTTTTTGAGAAACTCCTAGGTGTCTTCGAGATGACAGTCCACAGTGTTGAGAGAAACGAGAACCTGATTATTTGTGATGTTTCCCACATGGCATACTCCTGGATTCCATCCTCCCTGTTCCCATGACTTCCCATGAAGTCATCACTAACAAATTTTGCTGTCTTTTAACTAAATCAATTCACGGCTACTCGATATCATTCAAAGCAGAGTGGGTGTCTCCTTCCTCGGAGCCCTGTAGCACCATTTCCCCACTAGTCTTCTTCCCAGATGTAAAATGACTTTTTTTTTTTCTAAATATATATGCACACGTAGCATCTATCCTACCCCAAAATGTCCTACTTCTTTGAGTCAAGTTTAGTAACTTCTATATTCCTTGAAAATTATCTGTCTCATTTATATGTCCAATGTTCCAGCACAAAGTTTCGAAGTGTTGCCTTGTCATTGTGTGTGTGTGTGTGTGTGTGTGTGTGTGTGTGTGTGTGTGTGTAACTGATACTGTTCTGAGAAAATCCTCTTTGCGTTCCTAATATTCTCTACTGGCATTTTCTAGTACCCTATCTTCTTATTTTAAAACCAAACTTACCAGACGTCTATCAATTTTACTGGTCTTTAAACACATAAATATTATTTCCTACTGCGCCTTTACTGGTTGGTGGTTCCATAGTACCTCACATGCAAGTTTCCATTTAGTTCCCATGATTTGTAATGACTTGAGTGCTGTCTATGGATATTTATTTAAACCACTGTCTCTGACAGTGCTGTGTTACAGTCTGCAAACTCTGTTTGACCATGTCTGTTCTTTTATGCCAGCATACGGCCGAATTCATGTTATTTACTTATGTAAGGATTGTTTTCTCCTTTCCTAATAATAAACTGGTGTTTGTTAGGGATAGCTGATCTCACATTGAGTTTTAATATAGCATCATACTAACCCAAAACAAAATCTTCCTAACATTCCTGTTCCCCCATAAATATTTAAATTATTAACATATGATTATCTATTTATTGAGAATTTCTTAGGTGACCCTCAAAAACCATCTGTACCTGATATATTTTAAAAGGACAGATTTTTGTTTTTTTACTATCTTTTGAAAAGCATTGATGGCTGCTGGAGTTGTTATTGTTGGGTTTTTTTGTTTGTTTGCTTTGACTCTCATTGAGTCAATTTTGAGTAGTATTTGCTTAGAGAAAAAAATAGATTATTTTTTCATATTTTCAAATTGTGGCTTTCCAGTTACAAACTGTCCTTTCATAATCGCTCTTCTTTGAACTTCATCATAACTAATGTCATGCTCTCACACATTATCTTTGCTATTTATAACTGGTGTTATTTTGCTATAGTTGAATTGTCTGGCTTACATAATTTTCATTTTGTAGTCTATTTATACGGCCATTTCAAAATATTCAATGAGTATTTTTCCTAAGTTTCAATGAGGAAGTGGCATTTTATGTTATATGTGCAAATGTATCCTTCACATCTTTGTTTTGCACCCTAAGGCAGTACATTTTGTTAGTCAGAGCACAGATCATGGAGACAAACTGCCTGTATTTTAATCTCAGTTCTATTCCTTACTAACCGTGGGATCTCTGGTGAAAAAACAAACAAGCAAAACAAACAAACAAAAAACAAAAAGCACTGAACCTCTTCCTGCCCCAGTTTTCCATTGTGTAAAATAAGATAAATTATTGTGTCTATTTACATGTTAGGTATGTCTGTTAGTCGTTAATCTACAAATATTTTAAAACAAATTTTTGTAATGTCCCAGGATATTTGAAAGACTTTTTTTTCCAGAACATTCACTGAATCTGGGTGACATGAATATTCCCTCTTTAGTGTGCTCAAATTCAGCTGTGAATAAAACAAACATATTTTCTGCTTTTGCAGATGGGACCTGCTAAAGATTTAGTAGTCTCTGTCTGTCTGTCTCTCTCTTTCTCTCTCTGTCTCTCAGTCTCTGCCCCCCCACCATCTCCTGTGTGTGTGTTCTTCTATTTTAGGTCATCAATGTCATATGTGACAATATGAAGTAAAGCCTCTTTGCAAATTACTCCAAGTCTACTTGTCAGTGAATAATACAGCCACTTCCTTACACAAGAACCCTTTGTACTGGACCTACTTGATTAACCACAACAACAATAAAATGTTTTAAAACTAATTACTAATAAAAGCAATAAAATTTTAATAATCTATATATTGCCGGTTCCCTGCAGCCAGACACTAGACCACTAGGTCTGTCAATTCTTGTTTGTCTGTTTGTTTTTCTGTGCACTTTTTGTGCCCTGTAGACTGTGCCTATATCTTGATGTATCATACCTGCTTTCCTCTAACAGTGTTACAATTTCAGGTCTTATGAAGACACTTTAAATTGACGTTTCCACAAGATGAAAGAGCTAGATGTCCCCTCACTCCTTTCCACACGGATGTGCTCCTTGCTGCAGCACCAATGGTTGCCTCTTTTTTCCAATGTTGGGTTTTAAAACTCTTTTGTCAGAGATTAGGTGCTGTTTGGGGCCATGATGTTTGCTATGGTTTTAAAATATTTGTAGATTAACGACTAACAGACATACCTAACATGTAAATAGACACAGTAATTTATCTTATGTAGTACGATTAAGGAGTAGGCATTTCTTTAAGTTATATAGCCATTTCACAATATGGAATCTGCTAATACCAGAAAAGAAAGACCTTTCTGTCTTAAAGTTCTCATTATCAATGACATTCTTGTGCAAACTTTTTTTTAACATTTATTTATTCTGTATGTACATTTGTAGAGCACAAGTAGAGGTAAGAAGATATTTTTTTCTCTTATTCTACCATGGGGTTCTAGGAAATGAACTCAGGTCATCAGGCTTGTCAGCAGGTGTCCTACCCCTGGAACCATCTCACTGACCTAATTCCCAAATAAGTTTAAGGGTGTTGTGAATAGTGTCATTTTCTCACTTTCTTCATGTCTTTCTTAATAAGTTCATTATTGGCATTAAGAAAATCTATGACTTTTTAAATTTTTAATATTTTGTATGTGTGAAGTGCCTTTGAGGACCATTTGGGGGATGGAATTCCAGAGGGTTGTGAGCCTTCATGAAGGTGCTAGGAATTGAACCTGGTTTCAGACAGTGCTCTTAAGCACTGAGCCACCTCTCCAGCATGCTACAGGGTTTTGTATGTTGATTTTGAATCCTGATATTTTGCTTAAATTATTAATAAATCTATGAGTTTTCTGATGGAATCTTTAGAATAGTTTAAGTATAGAATAATGTCACCTACAAACAGAGGTAATTTTACTTCGGTTTTTATATTGGTATTCTTTTTATTTATTTCTTTTTTTATCCTACTAAGATTTTGAGCAATAAATTAAACAAGAATGGAGAGAATCAGCACTCTTGTCTTGTTTCTGATTTTTAGAGAAATTAGTTTCAGGTTTTCTCTGAGCTAGTACAATTTTGGTTATTAGTTTCTTGTGCCAAATTTTTATTATGTCAACATATGATTCTTCTAGTCTTGGTTTCCTCTGGACTTTTAGTGTGAAGGGATAGTGAACTTTGTCAGAAACCCTTTCTGCATCTATTGAGATAATCATGTGGTTTCTCTCCTTGAGTCTGTTTCTGTGTTGTATTACATTTATTGACTTGTATAAGTTTATTATTCTTACATCCCTGGATGGAAGAAACTTGGACATGGTATATTACCTTCTTAACGTGTCTCCAAGAATTTTGTTAAAACTTTCTGTATCTTTGTTCATTGGAAAGTTGCATGGAAATTTTCATTTTCTTTGTTATGTCCTTATCAGTGCAATCCAAGTTTCTTAGAGTGAGTTTAGGGGAGTCTCTTCTCTGTTTAGTCCATGGAACAATTAAAGGAATGTTGGTGTTAGCTCTTCTTTAGAAGTTTGGTAGAATTTTTCAGTGGTCCTGACTTTTCCTCTGTTGGGAAAGATTTGTTACTGTTTCAATACTGCAACCTGTTATGAATCTATTTAGGTTGTTTAGATTCTCTTCATTCAGTTTTGGTAGATCATATGCATCTAGGAATCTATTTATGCTTGATTTTTCTAGTTTAAGGGAATACAGATTCTTAAAGTATTGCTTAATGATCATTAGAATTAGAATGATGCAATTAGAATGTATTGTAACCTCCCTTTACTCATCTCTTATTTTATTAATTTGAGACTTTCCATCCTTCCTTTTGGCTAGTTTGTCTGGGTGGTTTTTTTTTCTTCAAATAAGTGGCTCTTTGAATTTATGTATTGTTGTTTGAGTCTCCATTTCATCAATTTCTGCCCTGACATTGATTATCTATTAATTTCCACTGCTTTTAATTTGTCTTGTATTAGTTTTCTAAGGTGCATCATTAGGTTATTTGTTTGAGATACCTCTGAATTTTAAAAATATATTTATTTACTTATTTTAGAGACACACATGCATATCTCTCTCTCTCTCTCTCTCTTTCTCTCCCTCTCTCCGTGTGTGTGTGTGTGTGTGTGTGTGTGTGTGTGTGTGTGTAAACATGCCTCATGCATCTATGGAGGTCAGAGGACAACTTTCT